TTACAAACCAATCAGCCTAATATCAATATTGGGAAAATACTGGAAAAGATAATAATAATAAAAAAGATCTGTGAACATCTAGAAACAAATAAAGTTATCATTAGAAGCCAACATGGATTTTTAAAAACAGATCACGTTAAACCAATCTTATTTCATTCTTTGACAGTGATTAAATTAGTAGACCAGCGAAATGCTGTGGACATAGTACACTTAGACTGGAGTAAAGAATTTGACAAAATAGACCACAACCTACTTCTTAGTAAGCTAGAAAAATGTGGGGTAGACAGCATCACCCCCAGATGGATTTGTAACTGGCTGACAAACTATTCAAAAACTAGTCCTTAATGATACTATATCTATATGAAGGAAAGTAAACAGTGGGGTACTACAAGGTTCCGTCTTAGGCCCAGTATTCTTCAATATCGTCATGAATGATAAATATTGTCCCCATCCAACATGAAATTTAATGTGGAAAAGAGCAAGGTTTTACTCCTAGGCAGAAAAAAACCAAAGGTACAAGCACAGATTAGGCAAAACCTGGCTCAGAAACAGCAACTGTGAGAGGGATTTTTGAGTATTAGTGAACAATCACTTAAACATGAGGCAACAGCCAAAAAAGCTAATACAATCCTTGGTTGTATAAATAGAGGCATAGAATCAAAATCACGTGAAGTATTAGTACCGTTTTATAAATCCTTAGTAAGACATCTGGCATATTGCATCCTATTTTGGTCACCACATTACAAAGAACTAAAGTAATGAGATTTTGGAAAAAGTACAAAAATAAGCAACTAAGATGATTAAAGGCCTGGAGACAAAAACATATGAAGAATAATTGCAGGAATTGGGTATTGCTAATCTAGAAAAAAGAAAGATTAGGGGTGATTGATTGCAGTATTCGAGTACTTGAGGGGCTGTAACAAAGAAGAGGGTGTCAACTTATTTTCCGAAGCACCAGAAGGCAAGACAAGAAGTAATGGATGAAAACTAATCAAGGAGAGACGCATCCTGGAATTAAGGAAAAACTTCCTAACAGTTTCTTCCTAAACTTCCCGACAGTGAAGACAATTAACAAGTGGAACAGCTTGCCTTCAGAAGTTGTAGGTGCTACATCACTGGAGGTTTTTAAGAAAAGACTGGGCAGCCACATTTCTGAAATGGTATAGGATCTCCTGCTTGAGCAAGAGGTTGGATTAGAAGAGTTAGTTCTATTCTGATTGACTGATATTTAGAACATGGCAAAAAACTGATCTACTAAAGTATTATGAAGAATTTCCATTTATTTACAAAACTCTAATGTAAAATATTTCCGAGTACATGAACTAATTTTATGTTTACTGCCTAACCAAAATGTTAGAGTAATATCATCCAGAGAAATAATTTCTAAAATGATACTGTTATATGCACATATATTTACAAAATGTGAAAACTTGATTTTTTTTCCCCTTTAAAACAATTGTTTGGCTTTTGTCATATACACTATGCAAATTAAAACTATAATTTTATATTAGGGCCCTAGTTTTATATATATAGCTGCTTTCGAGTAAGCCTCACAGAATTCAAAGTGACTTTTATGGCAATATAAAATGTTGCTGCTAAATTAAGGTAATTATCTTTCTAATGTGTCTATTTTAAACATATGTTCACATTTTCAGTCTCAAAAGTTTTGAAAAAAGCAAGATACATTTTTCACTGATGTTTTAGGATTCCTATTTAATTCTATACAAATTAACAGGGGGTTTGACTAGAAGACCTCCAAGGTCCCTTCCAGCCCTATGTTTCTGTGTCAAATGTGTTGATCCACATATGAAATAGTTCTTGTTTTCAGCACTAAACAACTTTTTAAATATGAAACAAGTTGGTCTAAGCATTTCTTTGAAGTATTCCAAGTTCACAACAGGAATTACTCAGTGCAACCTTGACAGACTTTAAATACTCATCAACTCATTTCTCGTTTGAAACAGCAATTTTGCACCAAAAATAGGACATTTTATGCATAAAACAGTTCAATATTTTGCACATTCTATTTTTTTTTATACTGTATAAAGATTTTTACACATCAAGGAAAATTAACAAACCTTTTATATAGGTGCTGAAAGTACTATGAAAGTTGTTCATTAAGTAATATTTCATGAAAGACAGAAGAAAAATTGACCCTAATCTGGGAAAATTAACTGCACCTGAATCCCAATGAATTTCTACTCATCAGAAAACTTAACAAATTAACATGGTTGTTATTAGGACATTTCTAATGTCTATGAAATGTCCTAATAACATGAACAGTGTTATTAGGGCATTTCATAGAAATGAACAGTGAATATGAATATGAATATGAATAGTGGAGTAAGTAATGCTTAAATTCCTTTAAGAGACAATTTAAAATAGTTACTTTAAGTGACGACACTGTCACAAAATATAAAATGTTACAAAAGGTAGTTATCTTAGTATAATAAAGCATGGCCTTGCCAGGTGCATACTTTTTCATATGCTAACCAGACATAAGACTACTATACTAAATTTTAGATTATATAAATATACGATTAATATGTTCTTTGAGATATCAAAATTATTAAATTTTTCAACTTTTTTCATGTTTTCAAGAGCAAAGGAAGTAGATACATAATAAATGACCAAGTCTGAGAATTTAGAAAATCAGATTGAAATATTAACTATAATACATGTTGCACTGAGAAATTCAAACTACAGCAGTGATTACCATCAGCAAAACTGCACATAGCATTTAGCAATGTGATTCAGAGCAATTAATCTCTCTGGCCCTCAGTTTTTTTCATTCCTTAAAATAGAACACAGATGCAGCTTTCAGTCTAAAAAAGTAATATATGTGTGTATGTGAGTTTATGAGTGTGAGTGACAGAGAGAGAGAGAGGAAAAAGAGAGAGAGGGAGGGAAGGAGGGAGAGAGAAAAAGAAAGAAACTTTTATACTCAGCCACAAAATCTTTGAAGATTTCATTGCAATAGCTTCCAATAATATAAAACTGTGAAGATGCATTTTTGGTTCTTAAAAACAGCTTCCAATGATGATGGTGAGAAATGCTGCAATAAAAACTTCAAAGTCAATTTTGCTGAGCATGGTTAAGCCTCCTTTTGCTTTTTGATATTGTAGGCGTAATATTAATAAAAACTTTAAAATATTCAGAATATTAATATTTGTAAAATGTATAGAGCAATTTAACTGGGAAACTGTCCAAAGTCATACCCCCACTCCTATGAAAAGCTATACTGATAAAAGATCAAATAATTCAACAATGATAGAGTATCTATTTTATCACAAAGGTAAAGGTAAAGGTTCTCCTCACACATATGTGCTAGTCATTCCCAATTCTAGGGGGTGGTGCTCACCTCCGTTTCAAAGGCGAAAAGCCAGTGCTGTCCGAAGACATCTCCGTGGTCATGTGGCCGGCATGACTAAATGCCAAAGGCACACGGAACGCTGTTACCTTCACACCAAAGGTGGTCCCTATTTTTCTACTTGCATTTTTTTAAGTGCTTTCAAACTGCTAGGTCGGCAGAAGCTGGGAAAAGTAATGGGAGCTCACCCTGTTACACGGCAGTAGGGTTCGAACAGCAGAACTGCCGACCTTTCAAATGACAAACTCAGCGTCTTAACCACTGAGCCACCGTGTCCCACTTTACCTTTATCACATATAGTCAGGCTATAAAGAACAATAGCAATGCATTGCTTTATGCAAACATAACTGGAAAGAAAGTGCTTGGTACAGATGTGACACATTTGAAAAAAAATCCCACTTACCCTAAGCAAGATCCTAATAGCTTTTATTAGCTGAAGGTAATTTTTAAGAGTTGCTTAAATAGAATTCATTCTCTATTTATTTATCAATTTTATATGGCTATCTCATGGACATGACTGGGTGGATAACTGCTTTTTTATTATTAGCAGATAATCATAATCTATTGAAAATCTGATGCTACACTGTTATATTAATATAACAATTCTAAATAAGAATAAGGGATGTCCCATTATTTGCAAGCCAAGTTAACCAGACCTACTCTGTTAATTTCTTTATGAACACAACAGATATTAACAATTGGGCTATGACTTTAATATAGTAAAGAATGTTTCCATGTTTTAACAACATCTTATATTTTAAACTTTGAAAAGATTTACATGTTACCTAAAAGTTTAAAACCTTTCAAATGATAATTTATCTTAATAGTATGTACTTATAGAATTAATACATGCAATTATGGGGTTCAGTTATGGGATTAATTCAAAATCCTTTGGTTAAATAAATGGGTTGATTTTAAAATTTCAGAAACAATAATGAAGAATTTCTTTGGTTAAAAAATAAAACCAAGTCCATCTCAAGAAATACAACTAAATCATAACATTTTTAAAGGCTGACACAACCTTACTAAAAAAATTATACAGAAGATCATTAAAGACTATAAAATGATGGTAAAGCAAGTCAACTTAATGTCTCACCATAAGAAAATAAATGAAACTTGATATCAAGCCTCTTTTTTCTTGTGGAAGTTTTGTGATTTTTAAAAAATTCACAATATAATACACTCTTGAATTTCAACATACACAAGTGTTTGTGTATGTTGTGTTTCTATTGAATGTAAGTCCCTAACTCCTGGTATAACAGGGAATGTACTGATTTTTAGCACCTGTCATCTTGCCTATGAAACTGTGCATGCTTATTTTTCATGGGCCTTTTGTACATTTGCTGTAAAAGGGGCAACAAATTCTTTCTTACTAGAAATTACATCTGAAATACACTTAAATTTGGTTTTTCATACTGTAAAAACCAAAAATCTAAATCCAAAATTCTAATGGGATTTCAATAAAGCTGAAGGAAAGGCATCTTAATGAGCACTCAGCACAATTAAGAGCCTCTTAATACAATCACTATTCAGTAACTTTGCATAGCTTTAAAGAATAATTTCAAAGGAATTACACTGCAGAGTAGGTTCCATTTTTCATCAGAAGATTATATAAAGTTGGCTATTCTACCTCATTGCTCTTGCTTTGTGAAAGAGCCAGGCTATCATTTGTCAGCTCCTCCTCATCAACACTATTTCTGCTAAGAGCTTTGGTTTTTTTCTTCTTGGATTCCCCATCACTAGCAGCACTGCTATCTTCATCATCATTGCCTTCCTCTTCATTGTCATCCTCATCACTTCCACTTCCATCATCTTCATCATCCTCATTGTCACCATCACTTCCTTCTCTGCGTAATGTGTTTTTCCCCTTCTTTTTCCCTGCAGTTGGGCGCCAATCATTGTCATCTTCACTGTCATAGTCATCTATATCATTTAGTTCTTCCATAGATACAAAATCTAAAAGAGGGCGATTTCTTCTCAGGTTCCACTTTTTTGGCTCATTTGTATGCTCATCAACACCAGCATCTCCTTCATTGGGCTTCTCTCCCTCTTTTTCTCTCTCCTTTTTCTTTTTTGCCTTCTCTTCTGCTTCTCTATCTTCCTCCTCCTCCTCTTCTTTTTTCTCAGTTTTAATAGTCCCTTTCACTGTTACTGGCAGTTCTCCTCCACCTGAATTTTTAGGTTTTTTCTCTGCTCTTTTCCCTTCTTCATCTTCTTCTGCCAGCTCTTCCTCCAATATGTTTTCTTCTGATTCACTACAGGAACCTTCTCCGCTATCCTTTGATCCATCTTCACTGCCATGTCCACTGCCTTCAGAATCTGTTGAGCATATGAGAATTTAAAAAAGGAATTCCAAAATAAAATGTACCAAAAAGAAAAAGATTTTTTTAAAGAAAGATTGAGGCAATCTGCTTAGTCAAATTAAATATTATTTTCTTAATAGCCATTATTTTTATCTGGGTAATCCCCCCCCCACCTTGATAGCATTTTTATAATAAAAACCTATGGAAATTGCTCTTTTTCCCATTAGAATAGTAAGAAGCTGTGTTTCTGTCTTATTTTATAACATGAGCTGAAAACCAACTTGTTTTACTTAATTCTGCTAGATTAACTAATTGAATAAGTGATTTAAACAGATCAATAAACCATTTCACACAATATTTTTTCTAAAACAATTACAATTCTTGAAATGATTAAAACAATCATATCAAACTTTTGGTACATTGTCATTTCACTAAACAAAAATTATAGTATAACTGCATTTAATTGTAAAAGAAATCTAACTTGTTCAACATATACACTGAGTTTTATTTCCTATTTTCTCTAAAGGTGCTATCAGGACATTTTTGAATGAATAGAAAGAATAACATATAAAGCAAAATATTAGGATTTTTTGGGTATATTTAATCTCTACTCTAGCCTTTGAATCTTTAACTGGTTGTTTTAGAACAGAAGTGTCAAATTCAAGGTCCTAGGCTGGTTTCGGCCCAAAGGGTGCTTAAATCTGGCCTGCAGGGCCAGCCTGAAAATAGCAAAGGACCGGCCAGCAGTGCCTCTGGCAGCCAAACAGGGCGTGGGGGGGGCTGTGTGTGGTCCACCCCATGCCCCATTTCAGCTTGGATGGCCTCCATTAGCACTTTGCCAGCCAAAACGCAGTGCAGGAGGGGCTGCACACAGCCACACCACATCCTATTTGGCCGGCAAAGTGCTGCAGTCCCCCCCCCCCCCCGCCCTCCAACTGACTCCCGGGAAACTAAAATGCTGATCCGGCCCTTTTTAGAACAACAGGACACAACTGTGTTATCATGCTATATCATTTATATAAAGAACATAACTCATGAACAGGTGTCTTAGCTATGGCTACTTGGGAATATTTCTATTGAAAAAAACCAATAATATGTTAAACTAATAAGATATACTAAGGTTATAAATGTAACTATAAATGTGCATCTTTTATGCAGATATATAGAATAGATAAAATTATAATGCTCTCAAAAGACTATTATACATGTAACAAAAAAGCAACAGAGAAAGTCATCTGAATTATGTATTTTTTCTAAAGGCCAGAGCATGACAGCACTGAAAGTTAAACAGCTTCAGAAACACTCACTTGAAAGACAGCATGGAACTACAAGAAGATGCTCCACATCTATACTCCATCTTTTTTCTGAATAACTTCCTATACATCTGATTTTAAAAAACCTAGATTTTTTCCTCATTTTAATATGCATATGCCATTATTCTTTGGAATAAAGCATTTTACCTAATCAGTAGACAAATAGAACATAACACGAATTTAATGAAATACTTTGATAATTACCAGTGTTCCATATTTAATTGGATTATATTAGTATTATGATAATTAGTATTATATGAAACCTCATATACTCAATTGTTGACACACATGTAAGACTAGCAATATTTGGGGAAAAAATGGAGCCACATGTTACTCTCAACCAAGAAGCAGAGCTTCTAAATGTTCCAAAAGTTCAAGGCAATATAGAGGACGCTTCTCCCTGGCTTTCTAGGATCAGAAGAGAAAGCTGGGGAACAGAAGCTGGAGAAGAGAAAGCCATCACAAGCACCAACTAACCAAAAAGGCAAATTGAGACAGGACAAGTAGATAGGCAACTTGAATGCTACTAGAAATATTAAATGTCTTGTTTTCATCTAATCTGAGTATAAACTGAGGAGCTAAAACTATAACATTAAATAAGAAGTATAAATATATTTTCTAAGATAATATTCTTGTTAAAATGTAGATGGAAAGTACACACACACATGTATTGGAGTATATATCTATATGCACGCTCACAGATGCTTGCACTTTTTTATGTATCACAATAGCTGAAAAAGTCTCAACAGATAGGAGACTTGGTTAGTGTTTGGATGATACTTATCAGGGCTGATATTTCCACAGCCCTGGAAATATCAGGGCTGTATTCCTAACTCAACTCCTAATTTATTTATTTATAATTATTTTAGGAAATAGTAGCAAACCTCTTTCATACAGTATTGCTGCCAAGGAAGTGATGCAATATGTCAATAGATTCAGAGCAATGGAACTCAATTAAAAGGATATTTTATTATTGATAAAGTTGATTAAAAATCAACTTTTTAATCGTAAGCTGCTGCTTCTTTTTTTTTTGGCTAAAGTCAGTCTCTATCACTCATTTTATTATTGCCAAATGTTCTCGCCTTTGCAAATTAAAAAAAAATAATTTAGCATGTGAAGGATCCTTAAAAACCTAACGTCTGCATTGTAACATATATAATGTTAGTATGCTAAATAAAAAATGCAGTACTATTACTTATGTAATAAATTTATATATGGTTCTCAAAAGATTTTCGTAAAAAGAAATGTAATTAAAATATGAAACTTTTCTGGGTTACCTGTATTAATATTGACTCAGTGATAAGTAATGTCTACAATATTCATATGTTCATAAGGATAATTTAATTACCAATCATCATTAAAATATTTAATTGTATGTATACCGATGTGTTATGTATAGAATGGTACATGCTGTGCTTCGTCACCCATCTTCTCCTACCACATACCATTTTCTCCTGTGAGACAAAAAGTAAATTTGCAAGAGGTTCACTCTATTAACACATGCACAAAACTGAGTAGATTGCTCTTTGAGATCACTGCAGCTGGAAAAAAGGAGTTTCAAAAATTTAAAGAAAATGTATTTCCCTCTCTTTCAAAAGGAAAATGCCAATAGTTTGTTCAACTCATTTTAAAAACTTTGGAAGGAATCTTTAATTCATTTAACTTCTAATTGGTTTGTACATAGTTATTTAGTATATTTATTGCTGTCTCAGAAATTGTCTTTCTCTTGAATTATCAATTACTGTAAATCCATTGTAATAAACCCAATGGATTTATTGTTCTTGAGGCAAATTGGAATGTCAAAGTAAAACAGAAGATGGGTGAGAAAAAGCATGGCAAAATCCTGGACTTCTCAGTTGAAAACCTAGTTGGTCTCCCAAGTCTGAGGATGGAGTGATTTGGTAACTTCTTTATTTTGTATTGTTTTATTTTGGTATTTTACTTTTCTGATTAGTTGTGTGTTTGTTTTTGGTTGTAAATTGTCCGTAGATTTTTGGGACTTTAGCAGCCTATTAAATAAATAAACAGCACCAAAATATATTATTAATGTTAAAAAGGTAATAATGTAGAGTGTTTCCCATTCAAAAATGGTAAGAAACAATTTTCATTCAGAGCAAATCTCTAATTTAGATTGCCTATGCCAGTCTACATTTGCTTAAATTAGTCTGAAATACTGATTATTTATTGTAATTAATCTCCTGTCAAGTCTCCAGTAAAATATAATTCAAGGCTTCACATCATAAACTGCAAGGAAAACTGTTGCAATATTATAAACTTCAGAATTTTGAAGAACTGAAAATGATGGATGAGTTTTAACATTCTTATGTATCAACACTGGCAATCTGCAATAACCATTATTTGTTCATATTAAAATGACAGGCCAAACTACCTTTGAGAAAAAATAAATGCTGCATTTCAGTCATTTTATAAAAAATACAAAGGCATACTCAAATAACAGCATTTTATCAACCAAATGTAGGAGATTAGTCAATTTTTTTAAAAAAACACAAAGAGTAGTGTAGGTTTTTTAAATTCTCTTTAACCTGTTATCTCCATATATCTCTAACTACCATTCCTGTAATTTCTGACCAGGACTTCCAAGACTATGAATTCTAGGAGTTGTAATCCAATGTATTTGGAGTTCACAAGGTTGGAAAAGTCCTCATCACGTTTCAAGAATTTACATTTAAATGTTGCATTATTTAGCAATTTATCTCACAAAAATGTTACAAACTAAATTAGCAATGATTTGTACAAAGTCATGCAACAAGTTTCAAGAATAAGAATTTGAGACTTCATATCTGTCAAGAGATACCGTATTTTTCGGAGTATAAGACGCACCTTAATCTTTGGGGAGGAAAATATGAAAAAAGCTGATTGGCAGGTGGATCCGGCCTCCGGGAAAACCCCCAATCAGCTATTCCCAAAGGTGAATTTTAGCAAGAGGTTCGTTGGTTGTGAGCTCTATGCCTTGGTTTTTTTGTTTGTTTGTTTGTTTTGTTTTTGCTTTTTTTCCTGACTCTTGAAACTTTTGAAACATTCGCCAAACTGTTTCAAATTAGAAAATTAGAAATTATTTCTTTATGCTAACATGAAAAAACACTATTTACCAAGATATTGATCAGATTTAAATTAGCTTAGTTATATAGCATACCTTGATAAATTTTACAGTTGTTATATGTTACATATCAGATGAAAAAACTTTACCCCTATAAATGCCAAAAAACTAGAACACCCAGCATCCAAACTAATGTGCCCAATAAATGGTATGCTGAAAATGTAATTCAACACTGCAACTCCCATAGTCTCTTTGACCCTACTTACCTTGGTTATAGTCCAACAACTGTTCACTAATGAAAATGACATGTAGCTTGCCAGAAATAATAAGTAGAACCTATTTATCATGACATGATCATAATACCTTCTACTCACCTTACAAACCAAAAACATGTAAGCTTATAACATCAAACATAAGTAAAATATCTACTTTACATAGAACTAATCCAAATTTATATTCATTGATTAAGACTATATTTTCTAAAGTTGCAGAGATTCCTAAAATACCTGTATTTGTCATACTATAATGATTTTGTAATTGCCCAATGATCAATAAAAAGGTTGTTGGAGTCAACATTATTATTTTGAGCAATCTGTTCCATTACCAGCTATAAAAATGGTTGGAAATATTTCCTTGTATACATTTATATATAAAGTGCAGTGAATAATTCATAACTGATTCATAGTGTGTATCCAGCTCTGCACTTACAAAATACATTACCCTATACAAGGCAAAACAATTATTAAAAGGGGAGTCCAAATTTCATTTTTCATGCTTAATTCAAGTTCAACTCTGTGATTTTTCAGATGGAAATACATTCTATTTGCTTTGTATCACATTTTGAAACGCACAATATACAACTTGCTTTTACTTCAAGCTACACCCATATGCCATGCTTAGTTTCTACATTCCTATCAGCAATTTTTTCTTGCATTTTTGGTTTTTTAAAAAAGATTTAAACTAAAGGTTTTTAAAATCAAAAGCTAGATGGATAGAAGGTTCTGAAGTCTCTAGATAAAAATAGTCTAACATCAAATTATATAAATCTTTTACTGGACTGCTAGAGGATATAATAGAAACTGGCTAACATCAATTACTCAAGGAAGAAAATGGCTGAGAAAATAATGGTTATTTTCATTATTACAGTATTATGCAATAGGGAGCACTCTGGATAACAGTTCCAGCTTTCTTCACTATACATGTAGTCCTCGACTTACACCACTTCATTTAGTGACCGTTCAAATCATTGAAAAAAGTGACTTATCACATTTTTCACACTTACAACTATTACAGCATCCCCATGGTCACATGATCAAAATTCAGATGCTTGGCAACTGACTCATATTTATAACAGTTGCAGTGTCCCAGGATCCTGTGGTCACCTTTCATAATCTTCTGACAAGAAAAGTCAACGGTGAAATCAGATTCACTTAACTACTGTGTTAGTAACTTAACAACTGTAGTGATTCACTTAACAACTAGGGCAAGAAAGGTTGTAAAGTGAAGCAAAATTAACTTAAATGTTTCATTTAGCAATAGAAATTTTGGGCTAAATTGTGTTCATTAAGTTGAGGACTACCTGTATACCAAATGAAGGAGGGTACCAATATTATGAAAGCTGCTTCACTGAGAGGAGAAAACTACCCAGACTGCTCATGCTTTGAACATATCAGGTATATTCTGACAGTGTGCGAGTAATCATGGAAACTTATTTCCATGCTAGAAAAGCACTGTAAAAAGCCTGGTGGAATGAAAAATCGGATTCCTACAGCTCACCTTTTAATATACGTAGAAGACAGATCAAAGCATGATCCTCTCTATCTTGTCTTATTGACTTCTCTCAATTTCCAAACTTTCATAAGTAAGTGTCAGAAAGCTGCTTTCCAATTTCAATGGTTATTCTCCTTGTACTCCTTGAGAGTTATTCTGTATTCATTCATTGTGTCCTAACCTGTTTCCTCCAAAATAAGACATCCCCTGATAATAAGCCCAATTGGGCTTTTGAGCACATGGCAATACGGCCAAGCGGTTATTTCAGTGTTCAAAAGAATATAAGACACGGTCTTATTTTCGGGGAAACACGGTATTTGGTTTGATTCAATATATTGCATAAACTCAGTCACTTTAGCTTGTGAAATGTGCATATATGAGCTTATAGTGCCATATTCAACAAACCATTATTGAATGTACTGACTTAGTGCAAGGTGTAAATCTAGTCAGCACTCAGTTATGATTTATTGAATAAATTGTAATTGGGCTTGGTTGCCATAGTCTGCTAAACCCAAACCAAACAAGGCATGTTATATTTCAGTGCCATGAGTGAACCCACATTTCAAAAGATAGTTGTTTTATGTACTATCTAGACACCATGATTTTTCCCCGAGGAATAGTTAAAACACATTTTTTTAAAAAGACATTTTATTTTAAAAGGAAAGGGAAAAAAGAGGCAAATTGATGGGATGAGAATCAATTTAAAACTATTTTAAAACATGAGAAGGAGAAGCATTTATTTACCTGAAGCATCTCCAACCTTAAAGTCACTGTCATCTGAACTGTCATAATCTAAAGCTTCCAGCAGGGAAGCTGCCAAGGGCTTCACCTGCCGCCTCTTCGAGCTACGATCCACTGCAGAAAAGAAAAAGAAAAAGAGAGAGGGAGAGACGCACGTTTTGTGAGGGGAGGGGGTTTTGGGGTTTTGATTGTTTGTTTGTTTTGGTGATGATTAGGGGCTATTTTAATGGGGAAGGGGAACCATCATCATGGGGGGGGGGAGAAACCCTCCAGACCCATTAAAGCAATGCAATTTATGGGAAGAGTGGGTAGTAGGAAAGAAGGCTGCGACTCTTTGGGGAAAGCGTGTTAAGGCGAGGGTCGGGGAGGGGGGGGGCTAAGGGAAGCGCAATAAAAGTGCCCCCATATGAAGGGCACATGGAGAAGGGATGCCCGCAATCCACTACCGGAGTTAATGCGGTAGGGGAGGAAAATACCGAGCAGATGCGGGCATCAACGGCCGGAGAAACGCTTTTGCTGCCAGTTATGGCAAGGCTGCGTTAACAAGAACCCCGAAGGGACAGCGGCTCTTTCGGGCGAAGGGAAGCGAACAAGGAGGAGTCGCTGCAGGGATGCTGCTGGACTTACTCACTGTATCCGAGCAGCTGCTGCCGGGCATACAGAAAACCGCCTCTACCCGTCAGGGAGCTTCGCTCCCTTCAGACCGCAACCGCGCTAGGGCTGAATGGGAGGCTGCGCGATCCCCTAGGCCAATTCCGTAACCCAGACAATAGGCGAAATCGTGCCCCGGATGCAGTTCACATCTCTCCAAACCCCGCTCAGGCGCCTGAGACCCGCCGCTTCCGCTGGGTGATTTCGCTGCGCGCGTGTGCAGAAACTCCGCGCAGGCGTTCTGGATCAACGCGAAGTTTTGCCCGTCTTTGGCTCAGAGGAGCATGCGCTCTTTGAGTGGAAATGCGCTTTCCTATTCAGCACCCGCGGAAGCTGGAGAAGTCGCATGTGGGTGTGGCTGTTACTAATCTCTCCCTTTTTCCGCGTGCGCAGTCCTGCTTCTGTAGAACACTATTTGAGTGTTTTCACCCTTCTAAACGAAGAAAGGCATGTAGTACAAGAACACGTGATTTGAGAATAAACGTTAGCAAGGAAAATATCTTGCCATGTTCCACTACGTGCGCATCGATTGCTCCAACCGTCTTTTTAGACTCAAGTCTTTTTAAAGATCCTTTCTAGATTTTTGCATTTATACTATTTAGCCTTTTATATATAATTTTATTTTGTTGTATATGTTATGCTTTTTAATTTCTTGCATTCCACCCTTCTCGTGCTCCATGAGAGTTCAGTACCTAATTAATTCAAATAAAGAAAGAATACAGAATAGAGAATCCTTTGGCTTTTCCTTTTAAAAATTAATTTTTAAAAAATGCAAAACAAGCTCCAATTTAACTGAATGATGATCACCTACTAAACAATGTCTTATTCATTATTTATGAAACCTCAGGAAAACCTTCATGAAAGTCAGCTTTCATAATCTGACCACAATCAAAATAATTATACATAATTCCAGGGTGGATTTGATTTAAATCGAGTTGATTTAAATCACAATTTAAATCATAATTTAAATCACTAGTAAAAAGGCTTGATTTAAATCACCTCGATTTGAATCATAATTTTTAAAGAGCAACTGTCATCTCTGCTACTCCTTTGACCCACTGTTGACTCACCGATAGTCCCAGTGTTGCAGAATATACAGCCTCATGCTACATAACTAAGCTCCATTTCATGCTGAATAAACTAAATTATTTATGTATCTTAAATAGAAAACTATCTTACGATAGATTTCTACCCCAAAAGTTTTTTATTAAAATAAATTCGATAAAAATCAAAAAATCCAATTTAAATAAAAAAAATCCAATTTAAATAAAAAAAATCTGATTTTTTTAAAAAAATCATTGGTTTTTATCCACCCTGCATAATTCTTATATATAAATATGCTTACAATTAAATACTTTATTTCCTAATGACCTTGAGAGGTTCCAGAAAATATTCTTCTAGAAGGTGGGAATGGAATCTTCAGAAACTCAAAATGGTTTGAAGTTATTCATTGTCTTCTTAAAGGAAATGCATGTTGGCCTGGAAATGCTGGGAATTTCAGCCCCAATAAATTTGGAGGTACCAGTTTGGGATAGACTGGTAGGCATACTTTGAGTTGGATTTCTTTTCTTATGTTTAAATTTCTGCTTTGGACCACTATAAAAAATATCAAAAATGGGATTCATTTGTCAAACAGTCTAGACGGGCTGCCTTTGGACATTAGTTATAGCCTTCAATTGGAGTGATAGTGTAACATTTTGTAATAGGCAGTTGTTTGAATCTTATAGCATCAAGATTATATGAACTCTAAATCAAGCATTAAGACAGACTTAAAAAGAGTTACTAAAAACAGAAAGCTAGAAAAAAAGTTCTTCTTTAATGAATATCAAAGGGATAAGGGGATTACTGTCGGGCCCAAAAGACCAGGGTCACATGTAAAGTTCCAGTTAAGCTGATTTATTGTTCATGCCTGCGGACAGGAATCTAGTCAAGGGTTCTCTGATAAAGCTCTTGGGTTTTGTGACATACAAAGCAGCCAATGTGGTTATTATATGAAAATTTTGCCAAGGGCAACAATAATGACCAGTCATCTTTGCAGTAGATATAGAAATGTCTTAAGGATTATTAGAACATTTGGAGAACCAGTAACGGAAATTTTAAGTAGTTCGGAAAACCAGCAAATACCACCTGTGGCTAGCCCCAGAGTAGGGTGGGAATGGAGATTTTGCAGTAACCTTCCCCTGCCACGCCCACCAAGCCATGCCCACAGAACTGGTAGTAAAAAATTTGGATTTCACCATTGGTTAGTCTTCTCTATCTCATTATTGAGTTGAGGTGGGCTAGAGAAAAGCTTACTTGAACATTCAAAATCTGGAAGCAAATTTACCCCTATCAAAAATTAGTCTAGATATAATGCGTCTATAATGAAAACCATAGCCCAAAATAAATTGACCAATCCCTTGCATGGATGAAGTGAGCCATCTTGGTAAAAAGGTTCAGTGCATCTAATATGGATCAATAGTCACTGACTGAGGATAAATCAGTAATAAAATCCAGAGAGACTGTATGCCATGAGTAAGATGGCACGGGGATGGATTTGTAACAGCCCTATTAGTTTCTGATGGTGGGATTTAGCCTTTCTGCAGATGTGACAAGATGCCATGTAGCACTTGATATCTGCTGACATTTTAAGGACCCAAGAAGCAGGGCCGGATTTTCCTATAGGCTAACTAGACTTCAGCCTAGGGCCTCAAGATCAAGAGGGGCCTACATTCAAATTGTTAGCAAAATTAAAATTACACTTTCACTATAGGTGAAAGGGCCTCATAAGTGGAATAGCCTAGGGCCTCTTTTCATCTAAATCCGGCCCTGCCAAGAAGTCTCAATGTTCTATGCAGCATTTTGAACACGCACCCTTCCCCCACTGTCTGGTTATTGTAGTATAACCTGTAGTATAAAGCTGCAAAACTTTTCTCTCAAAGGTGAAAGGCTCTTTCTCAAAGGTTCTTTTAAAAGCCCTCCCTCCAGTGCAAATGAGGATATGATACCTGGTGGGCTTCTTGGAAGCCATTCATCAAGACTGGTGAGAATTGATCTTGAGGTTGCTGTGCCTTGATTCTGGTGATTTAAGTCCTGGTGTGGCTGAGTTGCTCCTAATATCCCAGATTTCCCTTGAGCAGGTACTTGTTTGAAATGATAAGGTTGTGTAAAATGCTTGCTGTTATAGGTACATGGTGTATTTGAGAGAATTTTGGTTTACAGGATAGCACTGCTGGCATCAGGTTCTTTAAACCAGGGACATATAGTATACCTCACTTGCCTGGGAGAGAGTTGGCTTGATTTGTTGGTGCAACATTTCTAGTTTTTTAATCTGTGTCAATCTCTATGGACCAAACATGCCTTCTAGAAAATGGAAGGTTTAGAAAAGTGAAAAATAATCAATCAATCAAACAAACAAACAAATAATAGTTTTCCCTCATGTGCTGCTTGCTGGGTTTCTATCCAAACAAATTTGACTCCTTTCTTTAACAACTGTGTAAGGATTTAACTTTATGGATGGCACATAGGATAAACTTTCTGTAAAAGTTTGCAAAGCCTAAGAAGCTTTGAACATCTTTTGCTGTTGAGGGGAGTGTGCCACCCAAGCACCACTTGAATCTTCCTGGAAACCATTTGAACCCCTTTTGTGGAAATGCATTAATCTAGCTGTTTCAAATCAAAAGCATATTTTTCTGATTTAGAAAAAATAGTGCCAAATAATGTTCACACCTTGGTTTCTGAACCATCCCTGTGGCACAGAACACCATTCAATGTGGTTTGGGTCAGTTCCTGCTCCAGCCTGAGGGTCAGATACCATTCTCATATTTTCATTGCAGTCTGTTGAAAAGTTTTGAGAGATGAGTTGACTAGATTAATGTCAGGTGCAAAGATCAGGGCCATACAGTAAATTCCAGTTCAACTGATTTATTGCTATGCACAAGAAATTAGTCAACTAGTATTTAACAATATTTTGGTGCTAGATAAGGGTTAACTGAATTCTGGAGGGGGTTGGGCTTAATATGTTTCTGGTAATGTATACTCTAGACCAGTGATGGCTAAGCTTTTACGTCACTGCGTGTCAGCCTGCATGCCGGAAATGGCACGTGAAACCATCCCTCTTGGATCGCGCAGCCCTGCTGACCTTCACGTGTGTGGGAGGGACGATACCTGGAAGACCGGCAGTCCATCGCACATACGCGAGCTGGCACCCAAACTTCCAGTTTCCAGCATGGACGCGCACCTGATGAACAGCTGGCCATTGTGCATGAGTGCGTTGCAAACCTGGAAGTCGGGTGCCGTCTTGCACATGTGTGACGGAACGCCATTCTTCCAGGTTTCGCCACTCCCATGCACACAACTGCCAGCTGACTGGCATGTGTGTGTGCACAGGAATACCGAAGAGGAACCAGCAAGGCAGTGCATTCCTCATGGAATGGTTCTGCATGCCGCTTCTGGCACATGTTCCATAGGTTTGCCAACACGGTTCTAGACTGATTCCATTTTTGACTCTACTCTCTGGCTCTGCCAGTCTTTTTCCTACACTTATACAAACTCTAATGTACTTTGTCCAAATTATTTTTTATGTGTGCACAGCCTTAACAAATTGCATTAGATACAGATCAGAATTCAGTTGTACCTACTGCAGAATACTGCTTTTTAACCCATTCAGAATGTTTATTTGACCCGGAGAAAAAATATTTTGCTGCATAAATCTTTTGAAATTTTCAGACAGATGTATAAATCTATAATATGGAAAAAATGTTGTGGCTAAACTAAGGAGAACTATATTTGTTATTATCTTTTACTGCATTGCACTTGCATTGTGTTGTACTTTTCTTATTTTTATATAGAACAACAAACAAAAAATAGATTATGTGTCCTTTATAGGTCTTAATTTGAGTGAGCAGACTTGGGAGTTACTCGTGGAATAAGAATCCATTGTGTAAGATAGTCTATAAAATATTAGCATTCAACAGGATTCCAATGTTTATTGTACTTTCCATATAGAAAAATGGTAAAAAAAAAACATTTAGAAATATAATTGATGTTTATTAAAGAAGATGTTCAGTGAGTGGAAAGGGGTCATTTTCAGCACATCTCAGTGAATAGAGACTGGCAGCCCCTAGTACATGTTTCTTAAGAGGCAAGTCCCAGAGAAGCAAAGCAGATGGGGAAAACGGCTTCAATGGAGCATCATA